ATATATATATATATATATTTATATATATATATATATATATATATACACACACACACACACACAGTGGGTAGGCAAAAAATTGCATAATGTTGCTATTGAAATAAAAATCCTTTTAATTGATTAATTACTTTATTTAAAGAAATACGAATGATGCCATCATACAAATACTGAATAAAAGAAACATTTTATTCGATATGTCCACTTTGTTTCTCGATTACTGCCTCCACACGCCCCCCCCCCGTGAAACTTTTACAACACTTCTCCAAAAAACCAGAGTACATCATGTCCCAGTATTCTCCGAAGGTATCCATAGGAGAGTTAAGGTTTGGATTAGAGGTTCTTTTAGTAACTTATTCTAAAACGCTCCAAACATCAAAATCTAGAGGGTTGAGATCTGGATTAGATGAGGGTCACATGTGTGATGGTCAATAATCGGCAATATTGGACAGGAGCAGCATCCTGAGTCCATATATAGTTTGGCTCTGGGTAGTTGGTTTGAGCCATGGTAATAGTGATTTTCCAAGCGTAGCTTAGATGTGGCACAGGGCCGAAAGTAGGGGGCACACAGTAAGGATCGAACTCACTACTCAATTGTAATTGTTCTAGCGAGACAAGCTTGCAAACCATTAAACCGCCTCGAGGTGCTCTTGAGCCATGGTAATGTATTGTATCTCAGTCTTGTAATAGGCATCAGCATTAACTTTTTCACCAGGTTTGTAAAATTTGATAAGCATTGTCTTCCCATCGGAGGCCACAACGTCAAAACTATGACTTGAGCTGAATATTTTCGTCTGAGAAAATTTTCACAGTGGATTTGTTTCTTTTCAGATAAGAACTATTTATGCATCTTTCCAATCTTATAAACTTCGTGGATCGTGTCAGCAAATGTCTTGATGTTCTTCTATATGATTTTAGTTTTATATCATCTTTTACTAATGTTCTGATAGTCTTAGAATCCAACTCTAGTTCAGTTGCTAATTTTCTTATGGATTTCGTTGGGTCTTTTGTGATTTTGGATTTGAAGAGTGTTGAGATGTTGAGAGTTTTCCCGCGTGTGGGTGTACGAATCAAGACAAACACAGTTGTAGGGGAAAATACTGGTATATTTGTAAAAGCAACTAACAATAGAGTGATTAGTAGAACGAAGGTCGGTTAGTACAAAACAATATCCAAAGTCTATAGTCCAACGGTATGTAACGGGTAAGCTTATCTGGACTGCTGTCGCTGACGCTCTGTCTCTGGCTCCTTCTCTTCTCTCAAGAGCTGACTTATATAAGAGGGACCAGTCCATTTCTAGTTAGAAGGTGGGTGCGCCCCAACAGAGAGTGTTGATGAAATAATTATTGGACTTTTGGTTGATCTGAACAATTCCAGGCTTTCGGTGAATAGCTCCCTTATAGTCATTCTCTTCATCCCATTACAAACTGTCCGTAGGGATACTCCATCTACGCTTGAAAACGTCTGTGGATAAACATGTGCTTTTATCATACCACACACCCTTTGACGTTTGCTTGCCTCATCACTCATCTTTTACTCAATTATCTGAAAAATATGTGGGTAATTATTATGAAAGGTTGTGAGAATAAAATCCACCATGTTTCATAAAATTAATTGAACTGCTTAAGAAGAAAAAAAAAACGTCAGGGCGTCGATTGCGTCCAGCATGAAACGGCCTGTCGCCTCTAAGTGTTGATTTCAAGGTTCACTTTTATATATATATATATATATACATATATAGAAGTTGTAGAAGCTTCAGGAGGCGTATGGAGACAATAATTGAGAAATAAGGCAGACATATCGATGGTTCATAATTCCACTGTCCGTAGAATTTAATTTTTAAAAATAAGATCTCAGTACTGATTAGAGTTTTATGCTATTAATCAGAGGATATTTAACAGAAAACGTTAAAAATCGTCCCCTTTACGAGGAGAATTATTTACATTTATTTTAATACTTAAACCTGGATAAAACCAATTTTGGAATTTCTCTAAAAATATTCCTAATAGAAACAAATGGAAATATTTTGAAAAAAAATGCTTTTGAAAACTAAAGATTTTCTCAGACGAATGAGATGGAAAGTTTTCCATTTTATTCGTTTGGATCACGATTTTTCGAATAATCCGGATTTTTACGGGTTCAAATGTTTGAAAACTGCAGCCCTCAATGGGAGTTTATATGGTTTCGAAAATAATATATGAAGCATCATTCATGATATCTCTTTCCAGAAAAACAAGAATCATTTTCAGAGCCACTTGTATTATATTGTAAGACATTAATTCATCGGACAAAGTCCTTGTTAAATCCGATAAAACAGCTAATTTTTTATAAGCTAAATGCAAAAGAAATCCATGTTTTAATTAAAAAAAATTAACTAAAAATTACAGAAAGTTTGTCAATAACACTATTAATTTAGTTGATAAAATTGATACTCCTAGTAAAACTATAACTGATAAGCTGAAAATAAGTAACATGGTAAGTAAAGTTTTGTACCAAGGAATCATGTGTCCTGATTAAGAAACATAAAGCGGATTTCGAAACCAAATTTCCTAAGAGGATTATCAATTCTAAAAGGCCAGAAATTGGAAGAATTAGCAAGATTATCTTTGATAAAGTTAACAAGCAGATTAAAAAGCACCTTGGACTTTTACAGGGGACTTGTACCGAAGATGTCATCAATTGGTTCAAAGAGATTAACAATATGATGAACTGTTCTTTTATCCAATTTGATATCGTGGACTTTTACTGATCAATTTCCAAAGACCTTTTTGACAAAGAAAACTCCAATATTTCCAACGATGAACTGAAGAAGATATTTTCTCATTCACAACAATGAACAGTGGGTTAAGAACAATTCTCTGATCACTTTGATATTTCTATGGGATCATTAGATTCTGCAGAGTCTTCTGACCTGGTGGGTCTGTTTATTATATATAATCTAAAATGTCTGTCTATATTTCTGAGATGAGGTATTATGTACAATATTTACATTATTCGGACTATCGTCCTCATCTTTATTGCCATATCTATTACAACGTTCCGGCCCTTCATTATATGTCTATTTTTCTGAGATGAGGTATTATGTACAATATTTACATTATTCGGACTATTGTCCCCATCTTTGTTGTCATATTTATTACAATGTTTCGGCCTTTCAGTATCTGTCTATATTTCTGAGATGAGGTATTATGTACACTATTTACATTATTCGGACTATCGTCCTCATCTTTGTCACCATATTTATCACAACGTTTCGGCCTTTCAGTATATGTCTATATTTCTGAGATGAGGTATTATGTACACTATTTACATTATTCGGACTATTGTCCTTATCTTTGTCGCAATAGGACCCATGGCACATTGGATAAAGGCGTTAGTTAGATCCAGTAACAGGACCGAAAAGCGTGTGAGTTCAATCAGAACTCGGAGAGGGGAATTAACAAGAGATAACTGATAACTGACATCCATTAAACATGGCACGTGGAACTAGAACAGTTTACCCCATTGAGCGAAATAAAGGGTTCAGTTCGACATTCCAACCACCTGAAGAAGGCCGGAGCGCACAATGGCCGAAACGTTGTAATAAATATGGCGACAAAGATGAGTACAATAGTCCGAATAATGTAAATAGTGTACATAATCTGAGTGCTTATGATGATGTCAGTGTTGATAATATAGGCTTATATAAAGACGATGGCCTTATGTTAATAAAAACTTCTACTAAAATGAAGGTTGACAAATTAAGAAAAATGATCCATAGAGAATTAAAAAGCCTAAACCTTAAAGATCACTACTAATGTTAAGCATGTAGAAATTCTTGATGATCCGTTAGATCTTGTTAATGATGTATTCTAAGCTTATGTGATGGTCAGTGCCAACTCAATATATATTCACTGGAACTCTAACCCTCCTCCCTCTGTAATTAAACATACCCCCCTCCTCTATAGAATATAGAATCAGCAACGACTCTTCTAACAAAGATGTCTTTAATAAGTATATCAGTGTTTATAATACTGTCTTTAAAATAGTAGTTACACGTGCACAAATATTAATTATAGAAAACCTGATAATCGCAATCGAAGAAAAAGAAATAAGAACAAGAAAATCATTTGGCATGTACCTCCATTTAACCAAATGGTTAGTACTAATTTAGGCCAGAAAATTATCCATTTAATTGATAAGCATTTTCTCAGAAATAATCCACCCACTAAAATATTTAGAGAAAAATACACTAAAATTTAGCTATAGCTGAACGGATAATCTGAAAAGTTATTAAAAAACATAATAGTAATAACCTGAGTAATAATGAAAATTTCAAGGTAACTAATGTTGATCATACTAACAAATGTAATTGCATTAATTCTAACGATTGCCCAAATTGATTGTATGAGGGTCAAATGTCTGACCAAATTTCTTGTTTACCTTAGCACTATTTCTACAATTGAAAATCCAATTGTTGAAAAATTTTATATATGGAGTACTAAGACTTTTTAAAAACTAGATGGTACCAACATATCATATCTTTCCTCAATAGGACTTATCAAAAGAAAACCTCTCTCCAAGTATTTCCAAGGTAAATAATGTCGATAATACTAACAAATGTAAATGCAGATATTTTAACGATTCCCTATTGCAAAACAAATGTCTGACCAAATATCCTGTATATCTATTTCTGCAATTGAAAATCTGAATGTTGAAAAATTTTATATATCTAAGAATAGATACTAAGTACTAAGAATTGGTTTAAAACTAGATTGTACCAACATATGAGCTCTCCACCTTGGCACCTTGTTTTACCATCCATTTACTCAATCATACTAAGTAGGTTACGCGTTGCGTTCCGCTGTTTCTCTTGCTTTCAATCTGACCTGTGAGTATCAGATTTCCCAAGTCGTCTTTCTTCATTATGTCTCCCAGAAATTCTTCATTCCTGATGTTAAGTATAAATTTCCTTTTTGTTTCCATTTTCTACAAAAAAAAACTAGAAAGATGTAAAAAAAAGATTAGATAGAAAGATAGATAGATATGAACATAGTGAGATAGATATTTAGATAGATAAATATGAACACAGTGAGATAGATAGATAGATAGATAGATAGATAGATAGATAGAATTAGACATGAGTCCGAGATACACTGACATGATTTATTTACTCAGAATATATTTTGCTGTCTCTGAAAATGACTTTAAACAAACAAGCGGATTAATCTGGATTTCAATGTCGAGTAAATCGGATGCTTTTTCTATTTATATCTGATAACTGTTTATCCATCCGACCCCAAAATAAGCACATCCCCCTGTGTCTCGTCTTCATAAAGACGTATCTTTTTTTTTTCGTTTTACATGTAAATATTTCATTTGATTCTTTTTAATACGTTAATCATGTGCAGCAAATCTATAGTCAGGAAATTTTGAGTTTCAGCCTTTACAAATAATTTAGATTACAGTTAAAACTAATATGACTAACAACATGAAATATTTATAGTGTGAGTTTTTAGAAACACACCCTCCTCATATACATATTAGAAAAGTCGACCAGTTTCGGTTAGCAAGGTTGATTTTACTGTTTTTAAACTAAAATCGACCTTGCTAAGCGAAATGATCCTCTGTAGCTAAATCGGTAAAAGCACGTCAGGTTATATGACGGCTTGTATAGGATACAGGTTCGATTCCTGTCGGAGGTCTCATATTTTCTATGACAATTTCTCGAACATTCAGGCCAGTGAATGTCGTTAATACTGTTTATTATAAACTGAGCATTTACTTAAATATTTATATCTATAACAAGAACGTATAAACATAAAGAAATATCTTAAAATAATTGTCGGACTTTGTCCATTTCATAATGTGTGACGTCATTTGTTTACATTTGATACGTCATGAGCAGATATGAATGCACGTGAGAGATTCATGGAAGATTGAAGTTTAAATACAGTAAATTCGACCTTGCTAAAAAAACGCTCCTCTGCGGCCAAATTGGTAAAGGCACGTCAAGTTAAATGACGGTTCCGTATAGGATACAAGTTCGAATCCTGCCGGAGGACGAATATTTTCTGTTAAAATTTCTCGGACATTCAGGTCGGCAAATGTTGTTTAATACTGTTTATTATAAACATAGCATTTACTTAAATATTTGTATCTATAAAAAGAATGTATAAACATAAAAATGTCTTAAAATAATTGTTGGATATTGTCCATTTCATTATATATATATATATATAAAATCCGTAAGTGGTAAGGATAATCCAAATATATACATGAAGCGAGCTGAAGTTATCAAATATAGAGCAATATATTGATTTTCCAAGCGTAGTTCAGATGGGGCACAAGGGCGAAAGAATGGGGTACCCAGTGAGGATCGAACTCACTACTCAGTCATAATTGTGTTAGCAAGACAAGCTGGCTGACCATTGCACCAACTCGAGGTGCCCACAGAGCTATATATTATACATCAATGGTAAATCTGGCGTTATAAATGGTTTTAAAACCATTTTATAACTCCGGTCTGATGAGGCATTTGTCTAAAATAAATTATTACTTAACTCTTTAATGATGTTTTGAGCTTTTTCTTGATATATATATATATATATATATATATATATATATATATATATATATATATATATATATTCATACAAAAAGGAGAGAGAGAAAGGTGCCATTTTATATTTTTTTTTAATTTGGTGGAATTTCTTTCTGATTTTCTGTTGGGTACTGTCTATGAGAAAAAAAACATTACGCAATGTAGCCCCCCCAGATATTTTGGAAATGATATGCTGTACTTCGTACCGGAAGCTCCAATACGAAAATTTCAGAGCGTTTGAGTTTCAAGCTGAGGATATTGCAGAAGATTCGGAAAGAGTTGGATGAGTCTAATGGTGATTACGAAGGCACGGCAGCTCGGAAAACTCACTCTGATCGTTCTGGTTAGAAAAGAATTTCCGAATGTGTTCATGAGGGCCTCAGACTTCACACGGAGGCCTACATCAAGTTCCTTGAGGAGGTAGTGCTACCTTGATCAAGAGAGTGGCGGCTTGAAAACCCTATGTCTTGGAACAGGACTCTGTACCACGCCACACAAGCAGGAGAACCCAGTCATGGCTGCCAGACAACTTATACGACCACATCACTCTTTACATTTGGCCGCATAACTCCCCAGACTAGACTCACTTGATTATTATGTGTGGGGTGCAGTAACAACAAAAATGAACTGAAGGCAAGGATTATGGCAGCATTCACCAACTTAAACAAGGACATTCTCCAGAAGGGATGCAGGAGATTCTGAAGTTGCGTGGAAGCCATGGTTGAGGAAAATCGCAATTTTATTGAATGAATTTAGTATTTAATATTTCAATATATCTTTGTGCAATTTTGGTAAATATATCTGTGAAAATGAGATCAGCGCTATTTCGTTTTCAAGCCATTTAGACGGTAATTTATCTATCGCACTCTGTGTAGCTGTTAAAATAAGATGTCAATGTTATTTTTATTATAGACGGTAAATTAACCATCGCACCCGACATATCTTTTGTAAAGAAATGTCAATGTTATCTTCTTTTTTGCACCATTTAGACGACAATTTATCCATCGCACTCTGTGTAACTGTTGAAATGAGATGTCAGTGATATTTTCATTTTTGCATCATTTAGACCACAATTTATCCATCGCACTCTGTGTACCTGTTGAAATGAGATGTCAGTGACATTTTCATTTTTGCATCATTTAGACGACAATTTATCCATCGCCCTCTGTGTACCTGTTGAAATGAGATGTCAGTGACATTTTCATTTTGCATCATTTAACCACAATTTATCCATCGCCCTCTGTGTACCTGTTGAAAGGAGATGTCAGTGACATTTTCATTTTTGCATCATTTAGACCACAATTTATCCATCGCCCTCTGTGTAACTGTTGAAATGAGATGTCAGTGACATTTTCATTTTTGCATCATTTAGACCACAATTTATCCATCGCCCTCTGTGTACCTGTTGAAATGAGATGTCAGTGACATTTTCATTTTTGCATCATTTAGACCACAATTTATCCATCGCCCTCTGTGTACCTGTTGAAAGGAGATGTCAGTGACATTTTCATTTTGCATCATTTAGACCACAATTTATCCATCGCCCTCTATTGTACCTGTTGAAATGAGATGTCAGTGACATTTTCATTTTTGCATCATTTAGACCACAATTTATCCATCGCCCTCTGTGTACCTGTTGAAATGAGATGTCAGTGACATTTTCATTTTTGCATCATTTAGACGACAATTTATCCATCGCCCTCTGTGTACCTGTTGAAAGGAGATGTCAGTGACATTTTCATTTTTGCATCATTTAGACCACAATTTATCCATCGCCCTCTGTGTACCTGTTGAAATGAGATGTCAGTGACATTTTCATTTTTGCATCATTTAGACCACAATTTATCCATCGCCCTCTGTGTACCTGTTGAAATGAGATGTCAGTGACATTTTCATTTTTGCATCATTTAGACCACAATTTATCCATCGCCCTCTGTGTACCTGTTGAAAGGAGATGTCAGTGACATTTTCATTTTTGCATCATTTAGACCACAATTTATCCATCGCCCTCTGTGTAACTGTTGAAATGAGATGTCAGTGACATTTTCATTTTTGCATCATTTAGACGACAATTTATCCATCGCCCTCTGTGTACCTGTTGAAATGAGATGTCAGTGACATTTTCATTTTTGCATAATTTAGACCACAATTTATCCATCGCACCCTATATCATGCATGATTCATATTTTCCATTTCCGCTTGGATTTCTCGAATATGGAGTTAATAAATCTCCGAGATTAATAAATCTATTGCCATGTGGCCATGTTCTAATGCCGTTGCTTTCATTAGATGCATGTCAATTAAAGCGAGCTACATAAATTTCGAACTTCGCACTTTATTAAATCTACGTGCGTACATCGTTCTCTTTCTATTGTCATTTTAGGAATATCTCGTCTTGTATTTATTCCCCACACTGCTCAGTTATTGCTCGCCATTTTTCATATCTCGAGAAAATAACGTCCAGTAGAATAACCGTGAAAATATACACTTTACTCCGTAATGCTCTATATCATTACACACACACACACACACACACACACACACACACACACACACATATATATATATATATATATATATATATATGGGAATATTATTACTTACTTGTTTAGTTTTAATCCCAGACTTAAGAGAAACGCCAGATAATTTTAAAAGAGGCAACTTTGCAAAATAGACTGAAAGCGAGGATTATAATTTTCTGCTTTCGTAAACTTTTGAACCTTAGACATTCCTTCATCATTTTCAGCCCAAAATAAGACAATGCAGCTACTAAGACGAAAGGGGGTTACTGAGTGTTAGAGGATAGGAGAAAAACTACTATTAATGAGAGAGGACAATATAAGTACTGGAATTAAGAAGACAGAAGATAACAATTGACATTGCATTTAAATATTTGAAGATCAAAGGCAATTCCACAAGGATGCAAGGGGTTACTGAGTGTTAGAGGATATGAGAAAAACTACTATTAATGAGAGAGGACAATATAAGTACTGGAATTAAGAAGACAGAAGATAACAATTGACATTGCATTTAAATATTTGAAGATCAAAGGCAATAAAGCCACTAGGATGCAAGGGGTTACTGAGTGTTAGAGAATATGAGAAATACTACTATTAATGAGAGAGGACAATAAAAGAACTGGAATTAAGAAGACAGAAGATAACAATTGACATTGCATTTAAATATTTGAAGATCAAAGGCAATAAAGCCACTAGGATGCAAGGGGTTACTGAGTGTTAGAGAATATGAGAAATACTACTATTAATGAGAGAGGACAATAAAAGAACTGGGATTAAGAAGACAGAAGATAACAATTGACATTGCATTTAAATATTTGAAGATCAAAGGCAATAAAGCCACTAGGATGCAAGGGGTTACTGAAAAGTGTTAGAGAATATTTGAAGAGAAAACTACTATTAATGAGAGAGGACAATAAAAGAACTGGGATTAATTAAAAACAGAAGATAACAATTGACATTGCATTTAAATATTTGAAGATCAAAGGCAATAAAGCCACTAGGATGCAAGGGGTTACTGAGTGTTAGAGAATAT